TTAACGGCTAAGAGTACTGAAAAATCACAAGGAAATTCAGTAAAAAAAGGTGAAACGAGTTTTCAAGATTATCAAGTAAGTACCTGGGACTTTGCAGATGATTTTTGGTAATGAAAATGCAGAGATTCTCTGAAACTAAGAAAGGCTAAAGAGGTAGAATTTTGGTGAAGGTGAAGAGAGCTTATGTGGAAGAAGAAGAAGAAGAAGCAGTAGCTGGGACGCTTCGGGAAAATCGGGAAGGGAAAAATCAAAGATTGAGAAAAAGCGGGAAACAATTCAAGGGAAAATGAGTAATCTGAGGAAACTCAAGGAGCGAATTGAGAACACAAAAAGAAACCGAAAAATCTAAGAGGCTAATCGTAGATGATGGATGATGGATGATGGATGCCTAGGTCATTAGGCCCATCTGGCTTCGTTAGACTCAATAAGTTAATCGATTGATTAAACAGTCTAATTTATGTATTAATTTATATATTTATACATAAACTACCATGATTTTTTCATTTGTTTCATGAATCATGAATTGATTACTTTATTGTAAAATACAAATCAAGTGAAAGCATTTCATGTAAATACTAAGACTTAGACCATTCATTCTTTGGTTGACCAAAAAAAAAAAAAAAAAACATTCATTCTTCGAAATTGCTATTTTGTAACTTATACACTTGATTGCTCACACTTGAAAGTCTGATTTTCTCTTGTAGTGGTGAGTTTGGGAGATTAGGCCACGGGAACTCAAGGGACTTGTTTACTCCGCTGCCAATCAAAGAATTTCATGGCATTCTTATAAAGCAGATTGCTTGCGGTGATAGTCATTGTTTGATTGTGACCATGGAAGGAGAGGTTCATAAGTATGTATGTTTCTCATGGTTAACGTTTTTCTCCTTTTGTGCTATTAATCAAAATAAAGATAATTTTCAAATTAAACTCATCAAAGACTATATTTCCAAAATTTCTCAAAAAATAATGACTGCTGCACAAAATGGGTACACTGATCAAAATTGAAACCATAACAAATGTGAGCATGAATTTCACATAAATCAGTTCCAAATAGCAATTTCAAAAATGAATGTGTCTTAGTAATTGCTGTTTAAATCAATTTTTAAAGCCAACTGAAAATTACATGAAATGCTTTTTCATTTAATATGTTTATTTTAGCCTAAATAATCATAGAATTCATGATTCATGAAAACCTTCATAAGCTACTTAGATACTTTCTAATACGATTAAGAAAATCATAGTAGTTTATATAAATATATAAATTAATATATAAATTAGACTATTTAATCAATAGATCAATTTATTGGGTTTAATGAAGTCTGATGGGCCTAATGACCTATGCTGGACTTATTGGATAAACTGTATATCAACACACAATAGATTCCTTCTGTATTCTCTATCCGCTCCTTCATTTTCCTCGGATTTCTCATTTTCACATAAATTGTTTCTCAATCTTTCCTTTCCCGATTTTCTCAATCTTTCCCTTTCTGATTTTCCCGAAGCGTAACAGCTAGCTCTCTTCAGCTTCACCAAAACTCCAACCTTTTTTGAGTCTTTCTTTGTTTCAGCGAAGCTCTGCATTTTCATCAGCAAAAACCATCCGCAAATCCTCAGGTACTTACTTGATAATCTTTGAATACTCGATTCAACTTTTTTTTACTGAATTTCCTGTGATTTTTCAGTACTCTTAGTGGTTTAAGTTTTCGTCTTTTCTCTCTCTCGGTTCCAATTTCGTCTGATTTTAGATTGCTCAGCAAAATTCGATTGAAATTTTGTTTGCTTTAAAGCTAGAAATCAATTGCCATTTCGATCTTCGTCACATTGCATTACTTCTCTAGAGCATAATGCTCTAATTCTTGTGATTTAGGTTCCAAATTTCACTCCAATTCGAGAGATATGGATCGAATCAGCGAGTTATCAGATGAGTTGCTGATTGAGATCCTATCGCGTCTTCCAACAAAAGATGCTATCTCCACTTGCAAGCTGTCGAAACGATGGAAGTGTCTCTGGATGTATTTGCCGAAACTTGATTACGGAGGATGGAACTGTGATTCGTTGTATGTGACATTTTGCCGAGTAGCCTGTATGCTTGCAGATCTCTTGTGGTCTTGAAACTAGAAGGCCATATTCTCATGGATGTTCTTCCCGGTATGGCTTGTCTTCCTTCTCTGAAAGATTTGCAGCTAGGCTTAGATGGAGAATCTCTTGGACGGCTTCTCTCTGTTTGCCCTCTTCTTGAAAACTTACTGGTGGATTTTTGTAGCCGCTATGCGAGACCCTACACTGTCGGAAAAATCATTGTCAGGTTCCCGTCGTTGCAGAGTTTAGCTCTTTCAATGGCTAATGAGTTCGAGGTAGATAGGTTAGAAATCGATGCTCCTGCTTTGAAGTACTTGAAACTTGAGGATCATAATGTCGACAGTGAATCCCTTTTGATTGAGAACATGCCTGACCTGGAAGAAGCATATGTAGATGTTAGATACTCTGATATCCAGAGTCTTGTCGGATCAATCCAATCTGTCAAGCGTCTCACAATATGTTCAAAGGTAAATGGTCAGCTTCTTCCATATATCAACTACAACTCCTCCTGTCTCGTTTAACATAGAGTCCTCTCCGTCTTTTTCATTGTGTGCAGGCTCCGTAATTGCTTAGAGCGTTCGTCTACGCTGCTTTCTCGGTTGCTCACAGATTCTCCTAACTTACGAGTTCTCAACATCTTTCAAATGACAGTAAGTTTCTTTGATAAACAGTTTTTTTTTTTTGTCTAATGCACAGTGTGGGGGTTTGAAATCCAATTATTCTGCTCCATCTCAGGGGCATTACGACAATGATATGGTTCTATGGGATCGACCTAGTCATGTTCCTGCATGTTTTGAGTCCAGCCTAAAGACTTTCATCTGGTCAGAATACTTGGGAAGACAGCAAGACAGAAAAATTGCGGTTTACATCTTGAGACGGGCTTCTCTCTTGAAGACTGCAAGATTCTCGTCTGATGATAACAGAATTCCAAAGCTGAAGATGCTCAAGGACTTATCAGAGTCTCGACGAGCTTCGAGGAAATGCAAACTCTTTTTTTATTAATGTTTGTTAGATGTTTTTTTTCTTGTCTTCTTGTTCTATGTACTAGGATTCGAACCTCCATCTATTTATATATGTTTCTTGTCGAAGTAATTGCCCTTTAATATATTGGAAGATCTGTTTTATAAGCTCAATACATGCAGTAATAGTCGTTTCTATCGGATACTCTGATTTGTTTTCTTACGAGAGTCAAATTCAGTGATCTCTGTGCTGATATTTAGAGTCATGACCTCAAGATCTTGAAGGCGGACTTGTTTCACCTTATTGAACATTGATTGCACTGAGAACTTCTTAACGGAAGAACTAACAGAAACAGAGCTGCAGTACCTTGTCTAAGAAGCTTATAGAAGAAAGAAAAAAGAAGTGGACAGATGATGACATCTTCATTGCTATCATTATGTTTAAGTGGAAACGATCTCGAGAGCTTGCAGAATAACATCAGCCAGCCTTATCATCTGAAATGGCTTGACATAAAGAACTGGAAGAAGCTAAAATCTGTCCCAGTGCTTCCACCAAACCTCCAGTGAAGTACCATCATCATTTGATCACCAAGGCTTTGGATCACTGTTATAGTCGAAAACTACCTCGACACTGGTGTGACAATAGGCTTACTGGTATAGCTTTATGCGCAGTTATATTGTTTCCGGACAACCAAGAACATCAAAGCAATCGTTTCTTGGTGAAATGCACTTGTGAGTTTGAAAGTAAAGATGGGCCATGTATCAGTTTTACTTCAATCGTTGGTGGTTGGAGCGTAGCAGGCGATGAGCCACGCAAGATTGAGTCTGCTCATGTTTTTATTGGATATACAAGTTGGCTAGATATCAAAAAACGCCACGTGGAGAACCATGGGAAAGGATGTATTCCTTCTAAGGCTTCACTCAGATTTCAGGTGACTGATGGTGCAAGCGAGGTAGCAAGATGTCAAGTGCTGAAATGTGGCTTTAGTTTGGTGTATACACCAAACGATGTTGATGATATTTCTTGGGAGACAATTGGTGATATCGCTCTCATGAAGAAGGAGAAGGACGTAGACGATGGAAATTCAAACAAACATCCAAGAAATGATTATAGCTTCTGGAATCAATTAAACTGTTGTGCGACTTCGAGAAGGGTTGAATGTGAAGAGCTTGCAGAAGCAAACATCTCCAGAACTTGTTTTCTTGATTAAAATAGCAAAAACAAAAGTGGGAGGATTATATAGTCATCTTGATCAACTTATTTTTCAATATTACTTTTGCTCTGTTTTGGAAACTTGAAATAAACAATTTCTTTGCATATAGAAATGAACAAACGTGTTATTCCTAAAAGCTTGTGAATTCAGCGATGATTATTTTATTATTATGAGGAATCTTGGAACTGAAATTTGATGGATTTAGGCTAGCAGCTTAACTTGTTATGGCGAGAATATTAGACTGAATTTGTGCTTCGATGATTAAGAATTAATGATGCAAAATCATATGAGAAATTTTGAATAAGTTTCTATTAATTTTCTTTTATATATGTGCAAAAATTGCTGGCTCAGTGGCCTAAGATGTTAAGAATTGAGACTCTGTATTTTATCAAAGATTTAGACAGAGATTCAAGTCCATCTTGAAAATCTTGAATGCATGACTCTAGGATCTGAACATCTTCCATCTTCAAAGTCTTCTCGGATTGGAATTTGTAGTCAACCCTTGTAAATTGGTTCTCTTGTGCTTCATATGTCACCTTTTTCTTGTTCATTAGGTTTGAGACTAGTGACCATTTGCCACAAGTCTTAGATCCAGATATGAAGCAGAATAGAGAATCAAAAAGAGCCATTGTAATAGCTTCTGACTCTCTAAACATAGCAATAGATTTTTCGTTGTACTCTTGCCCTTGTTTGATCTTCAAACTCTTGATCACCTTTTGCAATGACTTGTTGAGGGATTTTCTTGAGGATACGTATTTCTTGATCTCTCCTGATATATCTCCGCGCTTTCTCCTTAGAATCGACTGGATCTCCATGAGACCCTCTTTCATATGCGACAAAGCATCCTTGGAAATGTTGCACAAATCCAAGATTCTTAGAGATCCATCAAGAAGCTGCTCGATGGCTTTCTTGTTCTGTTCTTGAGCTAGAGCCTGTTGAGTAGCGGGTAAGCGTATGAGCTTGTCAAGAGACTCGTGAAGCTCTTGAAGGTTGTCAAGTCTTTTGCAGATAGACGAGCTTGAAGATGTTGAGGCTTCCTCGGAAGATCTCAAACGAGTCAACTGCTCATCGACATGAGCGGCTTGTGGGTGAGGTCTAGAGGGGAAACTGTTAGAGCGAACATGGAAAGAGACTGCCATTTTTTTGTTATGTTAGCTCTTTGTTATTGATCAAAGAGAAGATGTTGAGAAAGCTAAAGATGTTTGTTCTGCCTTCTCATTGCCTCTCCGGGCAACATTTATATACACCATCAGGAAAGAGAGGCAAGAGGAATCTTTTGGAGATTAAAATATTAAAATCGTCAAATATAGTGTTCCTCTACAAAGTTGGTAAAAGGCATCTCTTCTAATATATATATCCAAGATCTCCACCATATCAGTTCTATGTCTCTTGCCAAACCATACTCACAGCTCAATTCTGAAATTTTCTTTTAAGGCATTGAGATTCTCTTCATTGCATGTGTTCTTATTTAAAAACAGAGCTGGCTTGTCTGCTATTGAAGGCAATGCCATTCGTGCAGATCTCTCAAGACTAAAAGAGTAGTTTATTTCCCTTTTTTCGAGCAGTTTCACATTCCATGTGAACTCCCAGAACACAATGTGCCAGAGGACAAGGCATGGACAATGCTGATTCAATATTGTGCATTTCAAGTTTTAGTCACGTTGAAAATGCCTCTACTTATCCAGAAATTATAAGCAAGCTTAAAAAATGGAAGAATCTCGATGGATACAGGTGACTAAAGTCTCTTATGCATATGTAAATTGTTTCACCACAAAGATACATCTTTAAGATTCTGTACCAGCAGTTGTTTTTAGGTTCTTGACAGATTTTTTTCTTTGATGTTTAAGTAGAGCATTCACATTTTGTTAATCTTATTGTATTTTTTTCACTACAAATATAGTATTTTATTTCCATGTTTCTGTAGACCATTTTTTGTGATTCAATGTAAAATATAAGAAGAAAAAATAATGTTATTACTCTGATTAATATACATGAGCTTGCCATATGATCCCACACGCTTGCATCATGGTTAAACTAATCAAGAAAATAAACTGCGACAATTTATCAAGATCCGTATCCGTAGATAGTGGCATGTGGAAAAAATCGTGTGGAGGTTCAGAGATAGATATTAAACATTAACATGTCGAACAAGTAAATGTTTGTTTCCCTTTAAATTTTTGAAAATATTGAACAAGTAAATTATCGAACAAGTAAATTTCATAAATGCACGAGCATTTCATAATTAGAATAGAGACCAGAACCTTTTCCATCAAAATTGGCATGTGCATGCACACGTAGACTTTAAAAAGTTCATCATTTACGTTGTGTCCCACACGAATAGAGATATTTTATTGTAGAAAACATGTGAATTTGATGAAACTTTTTCAAGGATATCACACAGACAAGATCCTTATTCTTCGATCCTCTAACACGTTACATGTGAAAGCACACGGAGACTTGAAGGTTCTTGTTTTTATTTATTTTTGAACCACTTCCAATGTTTCCCACCATGCAGACATGAACAGAGTTATTATTGCAGAGAACGTGTTAAATTCAATAATCTTATTAATCAGTGACCTTGTTGTAATTAAGAACTAAGACCGCGTTAATTAGGTAATCTGTTTTACCAGGAAGTTATTAACTTAATTTGTTTTACCATGAAGTTTAAACTGTTTAATTTGGGAGTTCAAGAGTCAATGCAGAATTGTGTGATTTCTTGTTTCTAGAGTGAAGTTGTTCTTTGATGATTAAAGAGTTAAGCGTCTAAAATAAAATAAATAAGATGATTAGAATTGAACTTAAGTATGTTTCTATAATTAACTTTTGTACAAAATTTGTAGGCTCTAATGGCCTAAGGTGTTAAGAATTGAGACTCTGTATTTAATCAATGACTTAGAGAGAGATTCAAGTCCATCTTCAAAATCTTGAATGCATGATTCTAGGATCTGAACATCTTCCATCTTCAAGGTCTCCTCGGATTGGAATTCGGAATCAATCCTTGTGAATTCGTTTGATTCTTCTTGACATGAGACCTTTCTCTTGTTCATTATCTTTGAGACCAGTGACCATTTGCCGCATGTCTTGGATCCAGACATGTAGCTGAAGAGAGAATCAAACAGAGCAATTGTAACAGCTTCTGCTTTTCCAAACACAGCCAAAGATTCTCCTTCTTGTGAAACCTTGAGAGACTTTTGTACTTTCTGGAATGACTTCTTGAAGGACTTTCTTGACGATAAGTATTTCTTGACCTCTCCAGATAGATCACCACGCTTTCTTCTTAGAATCGATTGGATCTCCATGAGACCTTCTTTCATCTGCGACAAAGCATCCTTGGAAACGTTGCACAAATCCAAGATTCTTAGAGATTCATCAAGAAGCTGCTCGACGGCTTTCTTGTTCTGCTCTTGAGTTAGAGCCTGTTGTGTAACAGGTAGGAGAATAAGCTTGTCAAGAGACTCGTGAAGCTCTTGAAGGTTGTCAAGTCTTTGGCAGATAGAAGAGCTTGAGGCTTCCTCTGAAGATCTCAATCTAGCCAATTGCTCAACGACATGAGCAGCTTGTGGGTGAGGTCTAGAGGGGAAACTGTTAGAGCGAACATGGAAAGAGACTGCCATTTTGTTTTTGATCAAAGAGAAGGTGTTGAGAGAGATAGGATGCTTTGTTCTGATTTATTCATTGGCTTCTCGGTCCATACATATATACACCACCAAGAAAGAGAGGCAAGAGGAATCTCATTGATTAAAATATTGAAACCATTATTACAATGTTTGTTAGTGTCCTCCTTTCAAGGTGCCACAAGGCATCTCCTTCTCATTATACACAAAAATTGTAAAGATCTCCACCATATAAGCTCAGTGTCTCCCTCCAACTACATCTTCATTTACAAATAATGATGCATTGAGATCTGTTTCACTGTTATGAGATGTATTTCAAGCTGGCTTGTCTGCTACGGAAGGTAAGGCCACTCGTGTAAATCTCATACCTATCTTTCAGGATTTAATTAATATTTTCTATGTGAAGTTTCAGACTAGAATGTGTCATGCCGTTGAAGGTGCTGGAATATATTATCATACAAAAACTCTAGCCTCACGAGCACTCTCAAAAGCTACTGTCATTTCCAGCTAGTCTTTGTCTCCTGCCTCTGAAGATTTTGTGAATATATTATAAGTCTCTCCGTGTGGTAGGCTATTTTTTTAGTTACATGCACACGTTTGCATTATGTATTTATTGTTATGCTAATCAGAGAAAGCATCTTTCAACAACTGTGATAATGGTGATCTCAATGAAGTAGCGGCAAGATCCATATCCGTAGATCATGGCATGTTAACAAATCCTCAATAGATTACTTAACAATTTTTCTTGGGATATAAAAGTTCAGAGATGCCACATTATAGGTTACAGGTCATTTCCTTCATGTATTAAACAGTAATCATTTTTTTTATGCACGAGTGGCCTTTAAAACAATGTCTCATATTTATGAAAGATGGTTCAATTAAAGAGAAATTAAAAACAAGATCCTTATTCGTTGGTTTTGACACGTGAAAACACAGTAAGAGTTTAAAGGTTCATCATTTTTTAGTTGGTGTATCACTTTCATTGCCTCCCAACTTATAGACATGGACAGAGTTATTATTGCAGAAAACGTGTGAATCAGAGATGCTTATCTTATTATAATTAGGAATCGTGACACCAAGAGAATTGGTAGATTAGAAATTCTGTAAATTGTGGGGGTTTAATACTCAATGGTAAATTTTTCAATTAGAGTTACTAGTAATTTTCTTGGTTCTGGACTAAACTTGTTTTTTGATGTAAAATAATTGAAAAGAGGAAAGAAGGTGCAAAAGATAATATAGGAAATCTTGAGTTTGTTTCAATTATCTTTTCTTTTCTGTACAAAATTGTCTAGGCTTTAATGGCCCAAAGTGTTAAGAATTGAGACTCTGTATTTAATCATAGACTTAGATAGTGACTCAAGTCCATCTTCAAGATCTTGAATG